AAGAATTCCGGAAATCCTCCAGTAGATAATGGGGGAATAAAATGCTATTGTATGAACAATACACACTATACAATTAGGTCCTACAGAGACACGCGAGTTCGAACCAATTAGTAGTGGAATGACCGCATAATTAAGGTATTCGAGGGTTCGTTGTCATACATTTAATTATACTTAGCTGGTGAGGTACGGGATTATCAAGGAGCCGAGATCAGACGATGATATCCGGTACAATCTCGTGAACAAACTTATACCTGCGCACATAGGCCGCGTTCGATTTCCTGGTTGGAAACGTTAAAATCAGCGTAATCAAGAGTTAATTGTGCTGAGCGATGAGGCTGTGTCCAAAACAGTGCAGCTCGTGCGTCTACGCATCATCCTTGCAATCTTAATCAATGGGGATTCTCTATCTTCTCTTCGACTATGCTCTCGATTTTCCCATCTTCATTCTACTCTTCTAGCCCAACGGACAGCTTAAGAGAGCAAATAAACCCGCCGCATGAAAGTGCATGGGTATTGGTTGTAAAAGTGGAACGGGAATCGAATCCTTTCCGGACTGAGAATCGGAATATGCAAACAAGACAATGGTCGACAGACAATTTTTATGTACACGACAAAATTAGGGAATTCTTCTAAATTTCTCTTGAGCTAAGACGAGTGTGAGCAATATAAACCCAATCATCAAGGAAGACGGATGAAGGACTAACTCTATACGAGAGTGCAATCGTTCATTATCAGTAAGTTTAGAAATGTAGGGTACTAAAAGTTAGGACGTCTCGGAAAACAAAAAGAAACCTACTGTTACAGAAATTAGGTTTTGTGGGCTAACAAGAAGCGATTCAGCATGAAAGTGTATGATATTGCTCCCCAAATACTCCTCAAAATATGAGGGGTAATACGTTCTACTAAATCAACCGCAGAACCAAACATTTCTGATGACAGTGATAAGTTAGAAAACACTCCAGAAGCTTTTATATGATACACCTTTTTGTGATGAACAGACGGTGGAAACACCTTGGTCACGGGGGTTTGCTGGTAAGTCATGGAAACATACTATTTATGCCCCAGGGCTTGGAGTGGCGAAAGCACACAAGGCTCTGATGGGTGAGCAGCGGTACTGAGCCACACGTCACGTTGAAAGCTATTGCTGGGATAAAACATCTGGCTCAGCACGCACACAAAACGAACTGGAACGACGCCTCCATTAAAAGGATCGATGGCAAACGGGGCCGAGCTTAGATTGATGCAGAAAAATCTAATGAGTAATGAGTAGGGATAGCGATATTGACTATCCGTTCAACCCAACGG